GCAAAAATCTACCAATAACTATTATTAATTTTGTTTCCTTTTGGGTTCTGCCTCAAATTAAAAAAAATGACTCCGTAAGAGTCACAGGCAGACACAAATATCGCATAAATCTTTTCAATTATCAGATAAATAACTAGGAGCAGCTTTATCTCCTTTATTGATGAATACAAGTAACTAGAAGTCCAATGAAGTAAAATGACTTTAGAGAGCTATCAGGGAATCACAGATAGAAATAAGATTGTAATTCATTTTGACGTTACATCAATATCAAAGAATGAATAGCCAGAAAAGAGTGAGTCTAAAATGTAAATACATTGATTTTATAAAAGACCTCTATAATTTAACAGGTTATTTTAATATCCATTCAAAATGATTGTGCCAGGAAAAGAAGAAGTGGCAATATTCTCCTAGAACAGAATATATCAGTTAACTTTCTATTACATTGCTTTCTCTACTTTAAAAACTATAAGATTTGAAACATCCTGGGAGGAGTTTGCATTAGAGGGGAGTACTAAAGAAGACTCTGGTAGGGTCAAAGTCACAGCTGGAGTGAGTTTAAGTAAACTTGTCCCTTGCTCTCTCTCCTCTAGCACAAAAATGAAATGATAGATGCTCATAGATTATTGTTAAAATACTTTTCTTCCTATTCACAAGGTCACCTTCCACTTGTACCAACTATTAATTTCTCTATTATTCACAGTGAAGGAACAAGAACCTTACTGTGGATTGTTTCAAAATCTTTCTATTTTGGAAACTTTAAATTTTGAAAATGATTTGCATTCCCGATTACACTTAGCGTCAGTTGATGTCCAGAGGAAATCGCAGATATTTACTCTCTAGCAGGAGAAAGTTGGGCTGGGGTTAAAAAAAAGTTATGGATAATTTCAAAAAGTGAAGTGATCACCTATAGAAAATAGACTATCTAGTTTATATATAGTTGATTTTTGTGAGCACTTTCATGAGTGTTTACGCATACAAGTAGATGTGGCACTTTTATTAAAGAAAATGCAATACACAAATATTAGTACTCTCTAGCTGACTTCTGTTTCAATGCATTTCAAGCATTCTTTATTCACAGCACAACTTCATCTAAACCTGTCCAAATGTCCAAGTTATATGAGAAAATCATAGAATCTAAATTTATGTTAAACCAGTTTTCAGCTTCTTTTTTAGAGATACATGCCAGGAAGCTTATTTACATTTAAAACATAATTATTTTCCACTGTTCTACTCATAACCTTTGAAAAATATTTAAAAATCCTATAGCATTGCATTCAAATTAATCTGCTTGTCTCAAAAAGACAAAGCAAGGAGTAAAGAAGACTAAAAGAAGTAATTACAAGCACAAATCCAAAAGGTTTTCCATTTACAAAAAAAAAAGTGAACTGCAAAGATAAATTGAGTTTTTAAATTGCTTGTTTTCAATTTGTTCTTAAGGGTGGCCGATAAAAGTTGATCACCTCAAACTCCAGAGGTGATGTCGAGCAACAGTGTACTTATTCAGAATATATGTATCCACATGATATTAAAGATTTTGTTTAAAATGCCTTTTAATTTAGAATGTTTGCAATAATCTCTTTAGACACTGAAATATATTGACATGTATATACATTAATAACAGTCCACAACTTAATTTATCCCATATACTTAGACGGATGTACACTATCTTTTAAAACCCGTAAGAAATAGATGAAAACAGAAAGTCAGATTAAAACGTATGTATGAATAATTCAGCAAAATCATTTTTGCTCCTTCTGTATCAATCACCTGAATACTGCCATATTCAATTTTCTATGTCATTTTCCATCATAACTTATAACTGTATTTGAAAGCAAACCTAAAAATGGAATTGTAACACCTCTGAAGAACAGTACGTTCTCTTTCTGAGCTCTCTAAATCTTTCCTGACATTCAAAGGCATCTTTTCCAGTAGTGATTTACAAATAATCCACCTTGCCTCCAGAACAAATAGAATTCCTATGCATAAGAATGTTTACCTTATATGAAAACAGACTACATTGAATGAAGAAAACCTTGGGGCCCATTTTGTCTCATTTTTACTTTTGTAGATTAGTGAATTATTAAATTCCTTCAATAATTTATTCTGCAATCACAATAAATTTTTACTTTAATTCTCTATTCTCAAAGTAAGTCAGAAAAAACAGACAATTACTCAATTTTCACTTAAGGAAAAGAAGACCAAAGACTAAGTTTCTAAAGTGCCTACTTGAATTTGCATCCTACAGTTTCCTGTTCCTGAATCCTGTATCTCGGAAACACATACATTTCAGCATCAGCAATCAAGGATGGGGGAGGGAGAGACAATCAACTGATCAGGCCTCAGGATGACACTACTTAATTAGCTAGTTTGATCAGCTGGCACTTTAGTTCCAATCTTCTCAATCAATCATATTTTTCTATTCCGATGGATAAAAATTCAGCTCAGCTACAATTCAATTCTAGATTTTTTTTCTCCAAAACAGGAAACGGCATCTTCCTGTTTGAATAGGCTTTCTAACTTCCATTCCATTATTGAAAATGAGAGTTCTAAGATTTTCAGAAACCACATAACTAGTAGAATAAAGAAGGTAAAGAGACCCATAAATATTCAAATAATTCCTCTTTCTACTTCAAAGAAGATAGATTTTTCTATTTGTTTCTTCATAATAGTATACATTATAGATCACCCGCTGAGCAAGTGAGAAGCCAATAACAAAAGATAATCCTCCTATTTTCCAGCTATCTTACTTCAATTCAACTCAGTGTTTTATTTTATGTTACCACTATCTCTCATAAATTATCATATTCTCACAAATCCAACATCAAATCTTAAGGATATGGTATTACAGTTAAGTAAATATAATGAAATATATTCCACGGAACCACTAGGTTATGGAGAGTATATAAGAAATTCAACTCAAAAAGAAGAAAGAGAAAGAAAGAAAGAAAGAAAGAAAGAAAGAAAGAAAGAAAGAAAGAAAGAAAGAAAGAAAGAAAGAAGTTATACTCATTTGTAAAATAAATAAATTTTCCGTTTGAAGACATGAAAATAGAGTTGCAACCTCTTTAAGGAGCAAATATTTGGAGAGAAAGCGAAATAGACATATCAAAACACAAGACATAAGCTAGATTCTGGGCAGCAATCCTCAGTTTAGTCCATGTAACTCCATGGCTAATGACAGTTCTGACATAACTGATAATTTGATTCAGGAACATCAAGTGTTGGGGCCCAGTGGTGATAAAAACAGAAAGTCTTTTACAGAAACTCACAGAACGTACGTGGATTAGAATCGAAAGGAACCTCAAAAGATCATTGGGTCCATCCCTCTGTCCTTGGCGGAACTAAGTAAACATCTAGCTCTCTTCAACTGATAAGGTGGAATTTGAAGTCAATACCATTAGAGAAAAGTCTTATGATTTGGATTGACAGCATCCTTTCTAAACTTTGCCTCATTTCATGACGGATGTCTAAGAAAATGTTATGTCCATTACTATCGAAAGTGTCGTGTTTCGGAGGGAAGAGTAAAAGGGAATGAGAATGCTCACATAAATGTGGAGGTATATGCACATGTGCGAGAATGTGCAAAGGATGTGTATGCATGTAGTATGTAGGCATATATATGGTTTATTTCCCTTGAGACCTGGAAAAAAAAAAAAAACCTATGATTGTAGACATTGTATTCCTTTGAAAAGATAGCTGAAATGGTTGCCATTTCAAAGCCTAGTAAGCATTCTGGAACTGCAAAACTAGCAAAATTGTCCCCGTGAGAGGGCAGTAGGGGGCCAAGCGCTGCTAACTTTCCCCTCGCTGTCCCTCCAGGACTGGCCCGTGCTCTCACCCTTCACCCTGCTGCCTGCCTGCGCTAGGGGCAGGGGCATGGAGGACACCGAGAGCTCGCACTGCGGCTGCAGCGAGCTCTTCTGATGAAACAAGGAAACTCAGGATCCGTGGGGCAACGAGCCACCTTCACGGGCTGACAGTTGTGCTGAGAGGTGCGCGTGCTGTTTGGCCAACTAGCTTTCAGTTTTGGCTTCCTACAAAAGAAGCAGAAAGGGGGAGCTGTCGTGGTTCCCGGTGCCCACAAGGCCCCCTCTCTTGGCCATTGCGCGCCGGCCACAGCGGGTGCCGAGTGTGCACGTTCGTTTTACAGTGTGTGTATGTTTGTGTAACTCATCGCAAGCGACTGTCAATCTATCTGACACCCTCTTGCAAGAATGACTCCGGGCTCCACCTTGCTATATCGCAGGCACTCCGGTCGCCCGCGCTACGATGCTGTCACTGTTACTTCATCATATTGCTCCCTCCCGGATGATTTATTTACGAGGCTACAGAAGTGAGAAATGGCGTGTCTGTTGAAGTTCTGTCTGTGACCTCACTTCTTTGAAGGAAGAAAGTAGTTGCGAACCTGAAAGAGGGTAAACTCCCCCTCCAGATTGTGAAATGCAACAGTAAAGAGACCAGGATCTGGACCCAGACTTTTCGGATTGGAATCCCACTCTGCCACTTAACATTAGCTTGTGTGCCTTGGACAAATTGCTTAATCACTCCGTAACTCAATTTCTTCATTGGCAAAATGGGGAAAAGTAACAGCGCCTAGTTCATAGGGTTGTGACGATTAAATATATGTAAGCGCTTAGAACGGTGCCTGACCCAAAATCTTTGCTATGTGTTAGCTGCTACTAACATTATCATCAGCATTGCCGTGGTAAATTTGGAGAAGGTCCATTCCCCACCAGTACACACTGGATCTTGTACCTGCCCATGTCCCCAAGCAAAGGTGGGAGAACCCTAACCCGCCCGCTCCACGCCCTCCAGAACCTGCAACCACCAGACACCCCCACCCACGAAGATCTGCTTCCGGGAACCCCACCCCAGCTGCGGGGCGCGCCACACGTGGGGGCGCACTTGAAAGGTTGAGGGGTGCAAAGGCAAACTACACGCTCTAGAGCGTTGGTGCCTACCGCTCTTGGGTATAGAGTGTATTTGGAGTGTTTTCCTACCTGCCCCAGGTTTTTGCCTTTCTTACTGCCGCCGAAAGCCAGTCCTTGGTATGTGCCCGCTGATCGATTGGCGGCCTGGGCAGGCGTCTCCCCGCCCAGGGAGGACTTGATGGAGTTGAGTTTGGCCCGCGAGCTGCCGAGCTGTGAGCTCTCCACCATCAGCACCGCGGCCAGTAGGAGCAGACAGCGGGACGAGTCCTTGCCCCGCATCAACGCGGCCATTTCCCGGCGAGGGGTCCCCGGGGAGGCGCAAAGCCCGGAAGGGTGCGGGTGCAAGGGGAGGGAGGACCCTAACACCGGGCCCCTCACTCGGGGTGCGGGGGCTCGCAGGCTCTGTTCCCCCAACCCTACTTGGCTTCGGGGGCCCAGCACCGTTTGAATTCAGTCTCACGCCTCAGACCAGGAGCGAGAGCGACCCAAGCAAGACCCGCTTCTCCACCAGGGCAGGAAGTTCTGCAGGAACTGGAAGCAATCAAAGGCGAGGCGCCTTCTCGCCAAGGAGGCGTGACCCGAGGTGCAAGAAGACCCAGCCCCACAGACCGCACCGCTTCAGTTGCTCCTTGCCCCGCACCACCGCGTTCCCGCCGGATCTCCGCGGTCCAGTTCTCTTAATCCGCTCTGGAGGGCCACACCGGTTCCTTCTCCTTCGGCCTCAGTTGCTTTTCTCTCCTCTTTTCCTTCCCGACCCTTTATGTCTCAACCTTTGCAGGACACAATGATAGCGGGCGCTATTAGGGGGATCAGGAACGCCCCAGACCGGACCCTCGAGGTCTGAGGAGAGCCGAGGTCTCCCACGCGCGCGGGCACAGTCTCGGCGAAGTGTCGCTCCCCGGTACACGCCCGGCAGCCTACTGCTGCCGGAGACGCAGCAATGCCCCGGGAGCGGTCGTGCGCGCCGCGCGGTCTCGCTCTCTCCGTTTGCTCTCTCACCGCCGCCCCCTTTGCTTTTTATAGCTTCCCACAGTGGGTTTTTTTTTTCCTCCGCCCCCAATTCAAGAGTGACAAAGAGTGAAAACGTTTCTCTCACCCCCATGTTCCCGCCCCACTCCTCTCCTTCCCCCTTGCGCCCCCCCCCCGCCTCTCCCTCTTGTCCCCCTCCCACACCCCTCTGCTCTCCACAACAATTGAGAAAATGGGATTCATTCCCAGAGGAACGTGAGGCCTCCTAATTCCTGACAACAGCTCCAGCGGGTGGAAGGACCTTTGGAAACAGACGGAGGGCAAAAGTGGAAGTGGAGAGGGGCAGGTTGCCACTGCCCTTGGGGACCGCCAGCACCCTTCTTTAGGTTTCCCAACCCATCTCCAGTGCTTGACACCTAGAGGAGCACTAGAAAAGCCCCATAGAAGATTTCGAGAAGTGAGCATCTGGGCGTTAATGCTGCGGTCTGTGTACGCTCAAGTGCCCAAGTTGGGTTTTAGTCTGTGCCTCCCAGTGTGTGTGTGAGGCTGCGCTATGTTGTGCCAGGGGGTGCCCAACTGACGTGGACGGGGGCTTTGGAATTGGGGAGAAGAGGACCAGAAAAAGGGGAAAGATGTTCCTATTCTCTCACCCGGGAGCGTTTGGAATTTTCTAGTCTCCACCTTTTGTACCCCCCAACCCCACGACCCCACCACACACGCAGCGTACGTTTCTGTCTCCTCGGGGTTGGGAGAAATGGGGTGCCTTGAGTAGGCTCCGAGGGTTTCAGTCTCACAGCTCTACCGGGCATCTCTACTGTGCCAGGCGGCTGCCCCCTTTGCGAAGAGGAAATCCCAAACAGAAATGAACGGAGGCAGGGAAGGCTTTGAGATCCTGCCTTCCTCAGCTCCCTGCCTCCTCACTAGCCCCTGGGAATTCCCAGGGAAGCCTTTCCTGCCAGCCCCCAGGCTCCCCAGGTCAGGTTTGTGTCTGAGAAGGTCGAAGGAGGTGCAGAGAGCGGCTGGGACGCGCGGGCGCGCGGCGCTTGGGGGCGCCAGTGGCAGCGGCCCCGCGGGGCGCGGAAGTATTGGCCGGAGACAAGCTGTCCCGGGCTAGCACAGGGCTCGGGTTTGGGGCTGTTTGGCGGTTAAGTGCCAATGTTTCTGATGCAACGCGAAGGGTTCTTTGGGAATTTCTGCGTTTGTCCTTCTCAGGCTCTAACGCCTGCGCGCAGAGAAGTTGAGGCAGTGCCACAATTTGGCAGCTAACAACTAGAGAACGAAGCTGATCTCCCTAACCGCACTCTGATCTTCAGACCCGGGTTCCTCAGGTTTCATACCTGATGCAGATGCACACCAGTGTGTACAGGAGTTACATTCAACATGTTGTCGCTAAGCGAGAACGATAGTGACTCTTTTCTTTGCCCCAAAAGGGCCAAGTTCTAAAGTGTGAATTTATGGCTGGGTTCTCCCAGACAGCACCAGCTTTGCATATTTCCTGCCCTGATCTGTGAGTCTGTCTGGCCTGGAATGCTTCCAGTTGCAGATTTTTTTTTTTTTTTTAAACACCACAAGCAAAGGGGCATTAAAACTTAAGGAACCTTAAGGAATCTTTTCTTATCTTTAGATTGCCTTTATGCTTTCTTAGGATAGAGATTTTCACATTCAAATTTTTTTCCACTTTTTTAAAAATATGTCTAGGAGTGGATTTGTAAGGACAAAGGAAGCATGCCAGGCACCAGTGGAGGGCAAGGAAACTCAATAAGTACTTGTGATTCACTATTTACACCTTAAGGAGGGTACATTGTATCTTTTGCCTTCTTTATGATATGCCAGTCAGAAAACATTAGAGAAAAGGAGAAAATTAAGTTAAGAGACTATTGGTTTGGAATTTTTCAAGAGTATTTTAGAGCAAAAGGATAATTCAAAAGAGAGCTAAATATGTAGGCAAGAAACCACTCTACATCCATTTGAAGGTTGTGAATACCCACCATCAGCTAAAGAAGGGAACAAATGAACCAAGAGAAAATTTGAAGCTAGTTTGCCTATTTCCATCAGTTCCTCTTTCCTTACTTCCAACCAAAGTTAGATCCCATATAGTCATACCTAACTCCTGTCAATGCTCTGCTGAAAAGAAAAATGATGTCAAGCTCACCTTATTTACTCTCATAAAACACCTCAGCTCTGGATAGCATGATACAGATTATCTCAGAGGCTTGCTTACACAACACCCTACAAGCTCCAAAAACAAATTTTTACACAAAGTTGAAAATCAAGTTCACTTTTGTGTGCACAAACATTTTCTCACATACATAAGACTAAATCACACTATGGAATCAAATGCTACAACATACACCATTATACCCGAAAAGGAGGTAAAAACTAATTTCATTCATGATCCAAATGTTCTCTGTAAAATTGTATAACAGACAGAAAGACACACATAACCCACATGTAGACAAGTAGATATGCATACACAAAATCAACTAACTGCAAATAACATAATCCTTTGGATTACCATCATAACCACACATGTGTTTTCTCATGTGTGTTTTTATAAGCATGAAGTTACACACTTCATATTCTACTTGGAAAAACATATTTTTTATGCATTTTGCAATAACATCATTAGGGAGTAAACATATAAAAGCAACACTGCACAGAAGGATAGGTTTTTCTTATTCAGAAGAAAGTGTTCACCTCTATGAACACTTTTTCCTTTGGCCATATTTTCCCTCTTTGCTCCTCCAGTCATCTTGGTTCCATCAAAAAAACCACAACTGTCTCAGTAGTTGTTTCCTGATCCTGGTTTCCTTCTGACTACTTAGCCTCAAGGTGAGCTAAGTGCATACACATCATTGCCTTATTCTTGTTTTCTATCCCACTATCTCTTTCCCTGCATTGGTAACCACTTCCTACACAAGTCTGTTTAGCAGTTGTTCATCCGTTCACTGCATATGTATTAAGTTTCGGGTCTTGAAGATACAAAGGTGCATAAGTCCGGGCCTTGGCTATGGAGAGGTTTGCGGTCCACTGTCAAGGCCTTGCTTCGCTGAAATCTGTCTCTCACCCCTCTTGGGAGCCTTCCTCTGTTCTCATCTGCTGCTGAAGTCTGCCAATCTCTGTCTCTCACAGGGTATCTGGAACTTCTGAACTAGATCGAATTCATGTGACTGTGGAAATAAAAGAAATTAGAGATGTCCCCCAGAGTTTTGCTTTTCTTATAAGTTGCATGTACACTTTTAGAGTGTACAAGGAGACAATACTCCTATATTTGTGGCTGAACCCAATGAAATGACACTAGTTGTTGTCATTTTCGGTTAGTAAGAACAGAAGTATGGTATTATGGCAAATTTGGGAAGGGAGAGTATATTTTAGTAGTGCCTTTAGGACCCTGAATCATCTTGTCCACACAGCTATGGACATGACAGACCTTCTTCTTGTTGGATGTTAAAAGATTTGGAAAATATGGTTATGTGGGTTTCCCCTCTCCATAGTAAACAAGGCTACCTGGTTCTCTATTCTAGTAGTACTCGACTCTTCAGATCCTATCACATGAGAATTTCATGTTTCTCACTCTGCCTATAAAATAATAGTCCCATGTGTTGCTGTCAATTACATTTTAAATAACCTTCAGTAAATGTAAGTTAGCACTGGTATTGTGAACATTTTTTGTGTTTGATAGGACTAATTTCCATACCAGATAGGAAAATTTGCCTCTCCTATTTGATCCCTGCCATATTTTCAGCTACTAACTCTTTTCTACCTTGATTTCAGGGACAACGAGACCAGCTAATGAGAAAAGGCCTCATCACTCACAGTTGAGGCACTAGCTGTACTTGACACAATCACGCACAAGTGAAATGGTTTCAGGGATTTCACAGTGAATCAATCAGAAACGTAATTCCTTAGCTAAGGGCTTGGTTTTTGATCCTTGACATATTAATCATCTTCTCAATACTTTATCTGCCACTCAAATGAGAGAGAATTATTGAACAGATCCCTCCCCTAACACCTGAACCCAACTAATAAAAAGTGTGCAAATAGTATAGTAGAAAACTCAAGTGGATAAAATTCTACTGATTCTTGGGCATGCGAGAGACCTTTGGTGAAATGGAAATTAGAAACATTCTCCAAATGTTGAACACCAAGCCTTTCCCTTTGCAATGCCCAATTTCTGCTGGTTTTATACACAGCAGATCCTTCCTGGTGGTCCACTTACTCCCACTGCTGAACTCTGGCAGGCTATTTCAAGATTCATCTTTGGAAACTACTACGTTTGGCTGTGAAAGGGAAACATTTAATTCTTAAGAGAGGTTCATTGTAAGAAATCTCATCTTGGTGAGCAAGAAAACAAACAACTTCTCAATAATCTGGACCAGGGGCTTCCAAACTCTGCTTTTAGGTCTCCAGGGTTCTAGAGAAGTTAAAGCTGCTGTATTTTTTATAGAAAGGGCTCCAGAAACATGACTTTTTAAATGTCTGCTTTTGTATTGTTTTTATTTGGGGGAGAGATGTATTGGGTGATTGGTTGGTTTTAATCAATTGTTAACTGCTAAGATTTGGAAGCCACGGTGATGTAGGCAAAATGTTCTATGAGCCCTCAACCTGCTAACAACAAGATGGATTCA